AAAAAAAAAAAAAAGAAAATCACACAAGAAGATCAGAAAAAACTAGATCTGGGCAAAAGTTTATCCGATCTAATTAGATCGGGGAAACGAATGAACGATGCCTCGCGATATACCGCATAATATCTGATTGGCGCGAGAAGAAACGAGACCGGGGGAACGGAGAATGAGAGCGGCGAGCGAGATAGCTATGCTTCCACGTAACTCGTTTTCGCGCGCAACGCGCCCGTGTGTGCATGGCGTTACATCCCGACGAGAGATGACGATGAAGCGTCGGTCACGTGTATAAGTACGTACGTTACGTACACGTATGCCGGGCGCGCGTATGATCCGTGCGTACGTACGCGGGATTACACACGCATGTACACGCGGCGGGCGATGTGCTGCCGCATTCATGGTAGCCCCGTCTAGACGGCCGTCAGACGTATTATTGGGCTCGCGTAACTCTCTGCGCTACATAGTTATCGCATTACCTATATGTTATGCGAGCGCGCGCGTGCACATACACACGGTACGCGCACATACGCTGCCGAGCAATGAATCGGTACCGCGAGAGGAGAAGAAGCTTCCCCTTCCGCGCATTGTGTTTCTCTCTCGCGAGTCCACCGTTTTCCGTCGGCTTGAGTAAAAAGCCGCATAGAAGGGGGGAAGCCTTTCCCCTCTCGCGAAACCAATTCAATGCTCGGCGGTGTACATATACGTGCGTGCATACGCCATGTGCGTCACCGCGCGCACACACACACACATAAACATACATACACACACGCGCGCGTACAGGATGAATCGCGTGCCGAGGTTAGCTTCAGCTGACGTAACCGCCGTTAATTACCGGTCGATTTCGTAGATCGATTCGATGTGTCACGCACCGAATGTGTCTCCGCATCTGCCGCCGCGTATCCACGTGCACCGTTTGGCGCATCGCCAGTTTCTCTAATTTCTCTCGTTTTTCCGTTAACGAGGAGAGCGCGAATTAAAGCCGCAAATTATCGGATGTGCACGTAATAACGTACGTATGTTATATTTTCGAACAAATGATACGCGGTTTTCCGTTCTCGTTTTTTTCTTAATTCTCTTATTGGCGACTCGACTTCTCATAACAAAAAAAAAGAACGAGATAGCGATCGCGCGGTAAAGTAGAAAGTAAAATAAAAATAAAACGCGCGTGTCGCAGCTTTTAAGCTACTGCGCTTTCCTGACCGCGTCTATCTCTTCTTCGTTTTGCTCCGGGGGCCCACCTACGCGATATTCTTGTCTCCGACGAGAAGGCAGAAGCGCCTGAACCGGGAGGACGTGGCTCGCCTTCCTGGAACTTGTCTCATTCAACGCGAAACTATTTATAGGACTTGCGCCGGTCTGATCCGCTGAATGAACGAGTTATGTATCTAAGCGTCACGGACATTTCTACGGGCAATGATAGTATTTTTTATGACCGTTGTCAACAAGATCGTTTTTATCTATTACGTCGTTAGAAACGTGATATCCGTGTGTAACAAATGTTGTCAAATCAAAACGCAGAAGAGTTTATTATCGAAAACTCGAAATCGCTCGTTTTCCAAGCGACTTATTGTGTGTATCAAACTGAACGCAAACGCGATTTTGGCAACATGAAATATTTCAAAAATCAAATTACATTTATACAAACGCGTCTTATGGTACAACTTTGTGTAGTTAACAATACGCGGCTCTTAACGATACGCAGGCGGGCGGCGCACACATGTTTTGTCTCTCGACGAACGATCGAGACACAACTAACTGATACAACTACTTGATTAGAATTACTCGGAATATCAATATCGATCGAGCTATCGCGTATCGTTGCTCGTGAAAACCAATACGACGTTTCAGCGGAAACGTTGCGCGTCGGTTAATTGATTATTCAGAAATTAAAAGTAACAAAGGTGACGTCTGATGAGAAACACTGCTTTTCGGGCCTAATTGCCAGGAGGTCAATATATATATATATATATTATATATAGTGGCCGCGAGCATAAACCGCGCTCTGCAAAACAGGAAGATCCACTTATCATAGATTAGGCGGCCCTTTCGTAAGCATATGTGATCCTATGGAAGTAGTCCACGTTCCGTGTGACGAATTGGCCAACCGTACAATCTAGTTACTAATATTGTTTGTGATGTGTGTATAATAGCGGACACGTGCAACACGCGCCCTTCTAGCGGAGGTAGTTGAACTCTCTCATAGGCTCTCGGATAGAGAGAACGCGTGTGTGTGTGTGTGCTGCGTGTGTGCGTACTGTTCTCGATACAAAACACAAAATACGCATACGCACAACATGCGCGCGCGCGTACGTGTATTTATTTGCGTTGCAAGTAGTATATACGAGCGCGTATAAGAGAAGTCACACCGGAGATATATATATATATATATATATATATATACGCGCTCTCTCACGTAACTGCGACGCTGAAAATTGTCGAACAACCGTTTTTCTATCGTTAATTAACCCGCGCGCGCGCGCGTGGATAACAACGGCCTACGCACGCGTTCTTCGGTAATAGGGACATACATAAATGCGCGCGCGAACACGCGCGATATATACTGCAAAAGCGTATCCTGCCACTGTCTACCGGCTTGCTACTTCATGCGTGCGTCCGCATTCCTAGCCCCTTCAATTACAAACCGCGTAAAAGTACGCGCGCGCATATGTGTGTGTGTGCGTGTGTGTGCGCGCGCGCGCCGCATATATAAGCCGGCCGCGTATACATACATACGCTATGTCTATTAGAACAAACGCTAACAACGGCCACGGATTATTACCCAGACAGAACTGGATCCTTTGTTGTTTCTGTCGGTGCTACAGTCGACATCCGGCTTGTGTTAACTGAATCACGTCGTATCGTTCTTTCTATCTCATTGTCGGTGCGAAGTTTCGATCTATTTTTTTTTTAACACAAATATATATTTGATCTTGTATTTATATAAAAAAAAAACTTGTATACAGCGAAATACAAGATACTATATTAAAAGTAAATAAGAAAAAGAAAAATTCTATTCGTATAAACAGATTTTTTATAACTAGATCGAGACTTCTGGGCCTTATTTAACACGTTTTTATGTTGGCATTTCAATATATACATATATATATATAAAGTATAATCATGCACTATATATATACATATATACATATATAATATACGATTCGTTATATCAATATTATACCGTCTGCACGCACGAATCATATAGAATTGCACCGACCGTGGCTGCGTTTTGCGGCTTTGAAGCGCACAGGTGGCGCGAAAGTGTGTTCACCAGATACGCTAAGTGGTAATGAACAATGGTCGCGAATTCGATCCGCGGTCTCGTGATGTAGGCTAGACATCGTCTCGAATTACACGACGAGCTCGCAACCACAATTTGTCATTTCACGTTTATCCCATTTCACACGTTGGAATGTAATATCCAAGATTATCGTAGATTATTATCGAGATTAACGCCGTTATATAAAACTCTTCCTCTCGTCGTGTCGCGAAACGTAACGATTTTTTTCGACCGATGTGCTTGTAAATTACTTTTTTTTTATTTTCGTTTCTCTTTCGCGCGAAGTGTTGTTAACATTTTCGGACAAAAATATTCTAAAATACTCTTCGTATTTTTTTTCGAACGTGTTGATGTCGCGCACGGGGGGGGGGGGAGAGACAATTGATGGCACTTGTTGCGTCAGAAAAATAATCTCACGCGAGTTCATTTTTTAACTATTTTTCTTTTTGTTTTTGTATATAAATTTGCAAATACAAAAGATAAGTAAATACGAAAGAAACGAAAGAGATACGCGGGAAATAGATTCGATGGGCGCAATCGTAGGTGGATGAATGAAACGGATCGTTTTCAAAAAACTGGAGGAAAAACACAAGAACGGGTCGGGACACAAGTCGGTTCTCCGTCTCCTTCTCTTTCAATCAGTAGAGGGATGCATCAAGGCCAGACGAGGCCTGTCCACCTAGCAAAAGGGGGCCGAAAAATGGCTGACAGGCAACAAACGAGAGTCATTTGTTAGCACCGATTTACCCTGACGTTACCGTCGTGCAACCGTCGCGTCTAGATCTACCCGGGATCTGTCCGGGGATCTTCTTCTCTATTACTCGTGCACGCTACGTTTCCGCAAGCGTCTCCGTCCGCGATATTTACGGAGAACCACGTAATGTGCGCAAGAAACACGTCGGACAAAACACCCGTAACACCGACTCGATTCGGAATTTTTACGTTTCCGATTTTTGTATATCGATAAAAGCGCGATTCAAAAAGAAACGTTTCGCAATCGGATAGAGAAAAAGTTTTTAAAAAACAAATAGAGACGAAACGATTATTTTTACCGAATGAATAAACTCTCGACTTACTTTTCTGTGAATTTAAAGTTCTCGAAATAGAATTCTGGCCGCGAATTCGCGGATTCGATGATTTCATTGTCAGACGCATGTCTGACGCAACGTTGCGCTCGCGCCTTGCGTGAGTTCATTTCCTGTGATCGGAAATGTATAATTGAGAAAAGTATAATCTCACGAAAAATAATCGCGTTAATTATTTCTTAATCTCGCATATATTTCCTGCTTTTTATTCCACTTTTTTTTTTGCCTTTTTCGCGTCACCGATTGTGCTTTTGTATATCCACGTCGCTTTAATCCGCAATTTTATTAAAAGATCATTTCGTTTCATATATATTTTAATAACTTGTGTGTGTATTGCACAAATGTGTGTGCAACTCGGTTTGAGACTTACTTCAACAGTTTTTGTCGTTCCATCGCGCCGCAATCTATCAATTTTTATTATCATTCATAAAATTCGCGACTAAAGCGAAGAAAATAGTTTGGCGTCTGAAAAACAGGGTCGAATCGAACGTTATTAGCCGATTAGGTATCCGATAATATTAAAATTGTTTTTTTTTTTTTTTTTTTTTTTTTAATAAAAAGCAAACGAACTGGGTGGTTTTTGTTTTCGCCGACTGTTAAGCGTTAACATTTATTATTAAACACATTTGTATATATAAATGCGTTCTTAATCTCGTATATTTACATGGCAAATATCAAAATAATTTCTGCATGATTACCTTAGCGTTTTAAGAAAAACGTTATTATATCACAAGTGTAAAAAGAAAAAAAAACAATAATTTATGATTTCGAAGTACACGACTAGAGATCTTTATAATGTAACAACGTGCAATTCGGTTAATAAAAATTCGATAAGACGTCAACACATGTATCTGTAAAAAAAAAAAGAAATTAAATAACTTATATGTGCTATAGATCAATCTGCTATCGCTTTGTAACGTTTCCGAGCTTTTTGCCACATTGCTTGCTTCTTCTCCAATCTCGGATCCACCGTGATGTTAGAAAGATCTGCTTCGAACTCGTTGCCAAGACCACTCTTGCTGTGATTGGACGTGATCGGTAGCTGTAACAGGAAGAAAGGAGAAATAAAAATCGACGTATTTTTCGATCGCGAAAAATAATAAACGGGAAAATGTTTGTCTCCAACAACGTGCGCACAAGAGTCCAAACGCGCGTTTGCTGCCACTCTCTTCGTTCGAATGATAAACGCGCGGTTCTTTTTTTCTTTTATAATCGCTTGTGTAATTATTCTACAACATGTAAGAACAATAAGAGTTGTCGCGCTGGCGACAATTGCGCGCGGCGATACGTAAAACGACCGGTCGTTACTCGATTGACGAGCTTGCGACGAGAGATACGTCGAGGAGCGAAAAGGCTCAACTCTGGCTTTTGCTTTCTCACTCGATGATGATAGCGATGATGCATCTGTCTGGACTGTCTAGACCACTTATATATTATAACTCGCTTATGGGTTCGTTTTCTCTACTCGTTTGGTGGCCAACATCTCCCAGACGTAGGAATTTATTTGTAGAAAGACGGGGCCAACACACTGGCGTTCATTATTAACAGTCTCTCGCTTAACCGACGCGTCGGTTCACTTGAATATTTCGTTTGCGCGATTATTAAACGACAAATCTCACAAACGTTCATCGCGCGATTTTAATTTTTCGCGAAAAAGAAAAGAGACGGTCTCGCGAGAGATTAATTTTATCGCGCGTTTGAAAAATAAGCTATTTTGAAACTGTCCGATCCGCGCGACGTAATCGTTTAATAACTTTATCGGCTGTGAAATAGATATTGCTCGGGGCGATCGATATATTGGAGAGTTGCCTGAACGATGAAGTAAATTTATGGTGGAAAAATAAGTGTGAGAGAACTGTGTGAAATATTCACTTCACAGCGTCCCGTCGATGATCACAGTCGGGATCCGTTGAATTATTTCGATCCTCCGATCCTCCGGCGACTCGACGTTATGCAAGTTCGTTGGAAGACGGAAGCCGAAATAGAACCACCTCTATCGTAATATATAAATGTTACACAATTCGCGCTTACGCGCAAATAGAAAAAGCGGATTATTCGTGTTTTTCGATTTTTTTTACGTCGAAAAGGATTTGTTTTTCGCGTTGAAGTTCGTCTGCGAAAAAATCGAAAGGTTGCTGCGAACTGTCAAATCGATTCGATTCGCAAAAAAATGCGCGATATATCGGCGTAATTGCCACCGCGTAAACTGACAATCGTTCGTCTGGGCGCGAAGGCGAAAGGTAGGAGGATAGAAAATAGGCAAATAGGCCACATCGGCCGATTGAGCGACACGGCCGAGCGGAGGCAATGCACCGTGATTACCGATTAGATAGCGCAGACATGTCGCGACGTCTGCCACGTCTGTCCCTGTCTTCCCTTCTCGCTCTCTTTCTCTTTCTCTTTCTCTCTCTCTCTCTCTCTTCTCTCGTTTAATTCATCGTTCAACCCCAGACGCGTTTAATACGTATGCGTACGCTGATTCGTCGAATGCAACCGAATGTGCGTGCGCGTGCACGAGTAGGACGCGGCGTTTGCGTGAGCGCAACGAGCGAGCGAGCGAGCGCAGGGGGCGCGAACGCACAAATTGCATGACCGCGGGGCAAGAAGTCACGATATGATGCAATGCGTCGCGACGCGCAATCCGACGCTTTCGCTCTCCCCGCAATTAGAGAATCGCGAAAAAATAAAATTAAAAAAAAAAAAAAAACGTCGCGCAAACTTCCGTCCGCTCATTTTTTGTTCGAGAACGAAGTTCGCGCGAGTAGAAGTAACCGCGCGATTAACTTGCACCTGTGCTGTGCTGTGTATGCGTGCGCGCTGCTAGTACGGCAGAAAATTTTCGATACGCCGAATAGAGAGAATAGAGGAAGGAAATTCCTAGGTCGAGAACCCAGACGCACCACCGTGTGGTCGATCGCGCGAACAAAACGGTGCCGACGTACAATAACATATTAGGAATTCGCTGGCTCTCCCCGACGACGGTGGTAGGGTGCCAGACGGTCTGTGCTAGTTTGAAAGTTTGTCCCGGTTTACTCGTCTGGCATACCGTCGGGAAGCGACGTGGACGCACGTGCGCCGCACCTTGACAGCTTGAATATGGGCTCCAGCGCGGAGACAGCATATTGGGTTCGAAACTTTGCTCGTTTGCAACGCTGCCAGTGTGTCTGCCACCGCCGCCGCCGCCGCCGCCGCCGCCGCCGTCGTCGTCGTCGTCGTCGTCTCTTCCTCCTCTTCCTCTTCCTCCTCTGTCTCCACCACCGAATGCATGTCGAATACTGCACCGCGACTCTCAAATAAACGTCAAGCTTCTCTTTCCCTCGCTCAGTCTTAACCCTTCACTTTTCCCATATCTTCTCGCGTGTTCATTACAATCGAAAACGTACGTCCAGAAAGAGAAAATGTAACATTTCTTCTTCGCGAATCCCTCTTATATTTCTACATTCTCGTGTCTCGGCGAAGATACTTCGCAAGTTTCGGACACGCGGTAGCTCCGAAGCGATTTGAGTTCTTTGAATCTTTTAGTTCGAGAGTTCTGAAAAAGAAAACTTATCGAGTTCCTCTTCTAATAAACCGTTTTCTCTTTCAGTCGGTCGGTGGAGCAAAACGTATAAGAGAGACCGTCCTCTATTTCGTCCCCTCTCGCGAAACGACTCAATGCCGGTCGTGGTGTACACCAAGACCGGTGTGCACCAGGGGGTCGCAAATTGATCTTTTTGTCGCAATCAAAAAATCATTTCTACTCGTCCTCCGCACTTGTTGCGATATATTTATTCTGGCAGAAAAAGAGGAGAGAGGGCGAGTTCCGGAAGTAACTAGGATCGGAAGTGCTCAGACAAAAAATGTAGTCCAGCCCGTACGTCTGGTATCCACATGTAGATGCGGATGCAGACAAGGTACACACGAACAGAGGTTTGTGCATACCGATCGCGCATACACACACACATGCACACACACACAGGGAGGATAACACGTCACACGTCCCAATGGCGCGCGCGCGCGAGCGCACCATCCGCGATAATCCTGTGATGGATGTCCCTAGGTGGTCGGTAAGCCCTTGCCGTCCCAGACTGTTCGGTATATCGGTGTGTTTACCCAGACGGAAGCCGTCTGGCGGCGATAGGGCAACCGACGTCTCTCGTGCGGCGTGTGTGCTTCACATATCGAGAATCTCTACTTGACTATTAAAGGACACACATACGACAAATTAGCGATACTTAATCGCAAAGGTGATTTATATCGGAGAAAATACAGCTCTGCTCTTTATACAGATTTTACATTTTCTTGTTTGCGAAATAAATCACGGTCACAATCACATTAAGTAATCGAGCAACCCGCGCGTATATATATTTTTTTTTCGTGAAGAGTAGATGTACTTGACGGCGATCGATCCAGTAAAGAATAAATTTTTCGAATTTCAACCACTGGAAGCGAGAAAGTATCTAACGCGCTTCTCTGTTCGACATTTTATTTAATTGTCAAGATGTCACGGTCACGGGGGGGATCATGTTTTTGCTCTCTTCGAGTCGGTTGTCCATATTGCAACATCGAATATAATAAAATGTGTATTATATTTGGTTTTCAGTCTCCGCAATGCGCAATCCGCAATTCTCTCTCCGAATCTGTGATACCGGATTGCTAAATGGAAGAGATAAATCGCGCGCGTATCATATATATATATATATACTTTATTACGCTCTCTTCTTCTCATAACGTCGCGGCCGCGTCGCGTTGCATTCACGAATCTGCGATTCGATGAATCGCGTGCATGAATTTGTGCTGATCGAAACGCGCGCAACGGTAATTAATAAATCTCTCATTGTACATATTTGTGTGCCGATACCGGGGCACGATTATTCGACCGATGTGTGCTGCGGCGGGCGAGTATGCACACGCGTACACACCTCCTCGTCTAGACCAATCGACCGGCTCCTGACTGGATTGCATATTCCTAGCTAGCTAACGGACAAACCGACATACAAACAAACGTTGCACATATATGCGGACGACGGCAGTTGCCGATTGTTAAAGCCGCCGCCGCCGCCGCCGCCACCGCCGACGACGACGACCACGACCACGACGACGACGACGCGGTTGCGCGTGTATGCGCGCCGCGTTTACGCCGGACCTCCTGTGTGTGCACAGAATTATACACTCGCTGCGTCCAGCTTCCTCCTGCCCGCCCTGTGTGTGAGAGAGGTTCGGTTAATTTCGTTTCGTCTCTCCATGTGCATGTCTCCCGCTTGGACTTAATCGTGCCGATAGATCTCTCCGCGTCGCATGCAGAAAATGATCGTTACTCTTCCGCACCTTCAATGCCAATGTTCCCACCTGTTGCCTCCCCGGTTGTCTCTTCCGGACGCGCCCCGCTGCAGGTTCTCTCTCTCTCTCTCTCTTTCTCTTTTTCTCTTTTTCCCTCTTTTCTCTCTTTTTTTTTTCCTCCGTCTACAGATCTTCCAGTTTTCTTTCTTTGTTCTCTTCTCGTCCAGTTCCGCTAATTTAAACGTTTACATTGAGATTTGCTTTTATTTTTTACAAAACCGCGCAACCGGCAGTGAAGATATTAAATTGTCTCTCGTTTGCTCTCAGCTCACTTTTTTCCGCTTTTTTTTTTTTTTTTTTTTCAACGAAGTCAAATTATTACAAAGATTGTTGGCAATCCTTTGACAAAACGAATTGTATCAAATGAGATTTGATTATTTTTAAACGATCTTTGCGCTCTCATCCACAGATGAGACAATCGTTTTTTGAACGCGATAGTTTCTGACGATAAATTTCAGACGACAGAAACCAAACGATATTTTGTAAAAAAACGAGATCCAACGTGTTGCATCGGAGATGCGAAACATTTTGAAAATCGACTTGTTTGTTATCCGTTTCTTGCGGTTTGCGCGGCGACGACGCGCATTCATTCGAAGCAAAAGTATTTCTCGTCTTAGGCGCGAAAATGCGGACGCGGTCGATCTCTTCTTCTCTTTTTCGGAACATTGTTTTCGTTGGTGGCGAAAATAAAAGGAGCCGCGGCGAATAAACGACGGACGACGACGACGACGCGCAAGAAACTAAAAAAATGAAACAAACCGAAAGATGGATGGCAACAACAAGTTATCGTAAGGTAATCAGGACGGCACGGGAGAATCAACAAACTCTGCGATTTGTTTTTGTTGGCGTGTCCGCGATCTGTTTTCGCGAGTAATGCATTCAAAACAATGTTCCGTGAATTCGAATTAAAACCCGATTCGTCAATTGCAAGATGCGCAAGTCATAAACATATCGACGTTATTGATAAACTCTCGGATATGTAAAAAAAAAAAGTAGAATCTTTATGCGTGAAATATCAGAAGTGTGGATATTTCTCTCTTTAACGTTGATTGTAACGCAACTTTGTAAGTGAGAGATAAATAAAAAAAAAAAAAAAAAAAATTATTCACGTGACTACATGAAGTAAATTCTCCTTCGAAGATCGGCGTTTAATTTGCACTTTTGTCCTGAATTCCAATGACGATGCGGACTTGCCGAAGCCGACGAGAGACAGGTCGTTAGTGATCCTCTTGGTGTATTCTTGCAATTTCTGTCTCTCTGTATTACGTAATATCGAAACGACCTTGCGTTCCATCGTAATTCGTGCGCGCGCGCTCGAGACAGACGTGGTTTTTATGCATCTCTCGTCATATTTTCCGCTGCGCAACTCCTTCTCTCTCTCTCAATTTTTTTTTTTTGCAGTTCTTCCTTCTTGTTCCCGCGTTTTTTTTTTTTTTTATATTCTCGGAAGGAAAAGGTACGGATGAATAAATAGACGGCGCGACACTGAGAAAATAAGCGAAGAAAATAAGAGGTGAACTGCAACAACAAGTTTTGCGCGAAAAGAATTCACGGAGCGCACGCGCGCGCGCGCGCCTCTTGTTGTTTTCGCGCGCGCGAGAACGCTTTCAAAACACCTTTCTCCTTCTTTCCGTCCTTCTTCTTCGTCCCGATTTCTGTTCGGATATTGTGTATTTGAGAATAAATAAATAAATTTTGTCCCTTTCATGTGATAAATTATTATTTGACATATATCGCGGCAGGCAATGTTAACAAAAAGTTTGCGAAATTTCGGACGTGTGTTCTTTTATTTAGGTTTCGAGTTTCTTTCCGCAGAAAAAATTGCAAGAATCGAGAATGCGGATGTACACGCGTAATATTATCACAAGCGTTGATTGCACTCGAATTTTTCAATCGAATCAAAAGTAATTCGAAGATTCCTTTAATTGTAAATCCTCGATTATTATAATTACATACGTATATATATATATATATACTCTCTTTCAATAAATTGTCGTGACAAGCTGCGACAAAAATAGAAACAGCATTTGTTTTATTTTTAAATTACGTTCCCCGGGGCAACATGCGTCATTAAACGGATAAAGTTTTTCCTCCTCGAGAGAATTGTAAACCGCAAATAGATGCAATATGGAAATGGATGTAAATCGTAAAAGGAACCGCTCGCACTCTGTCCGTGAAATGGCTCACGGCAGTCGATATTCAGGGAAGTCTATAAAATGAAATTGTGTGTGCGTTGTGTGCATGTTGCAGTTTCCGGTTTTAGTTCGCGATTACATCGCGCCTCGAGCGCTCGTTACAAGCATCAAATTGCGAGACAGAAAGTTTACGCATGAAATTTATATTCTATTGCGTTATTCGACAAAAAATGAAAGAAAAACGCGAGAGAACTTGCGATCATTAGACGATATCTCTCTCTCTCTCTCTCTCTCTCTCTGAAAATTTCTAAATTTATTAAACTGTTCCTGTTTTTTTTTTCTGTTTGTCTTATCAACACGTTTGATGCGATTAATGTGTATTAAATAATGAAAATCACAGTAGCATCTTTTTAACACACAAAATTATTCGTGTGACACACACACACACACACACACATGCGGTAAAGAACTGTAGTCAACGCGTTGTCACTTCTTATACCATGTAACACCTGGCGGAGCACTTAGATAAATGAACCCGCTGAGATTTTACTCGTTAAAGTCTTGCGTACGGTTCCGAAGCCCAACTCCGCGAAACTTTTATATCGCCACGGTTGCCTATCGCATCTCGCGGTTTACTGGCAATCGTCCGCTTTACAATGTCTGGTTTACGGGCTCTCAAGTCGTCCCGACGCACATCGTCTCAACGAGTGTCCTTCCTTCCGTTTCTACGTGCCCGTAGCTTTCTCCGTCTCTATTCTACGTTGTGTTTACGATATAGGTCACATCTTCTTCGTGAAACGCATTCGCGGATGCGAACAGTGTAGTTGGGTATTACGGCTACAATTGCGTGAACGATACGCGTAAAGACAACGTAAAAGCGAAATCCAATGTAAAAGTGAAATAGCTGTCTACAGCAGCCGGTGCGACGACCGGCGAAATGCAGTGGATAAGATAGGCGAGAACGGAGAGAACAATTTGAAAATGTGTTTGAAGAGTAAAATATCCAAGAAAAAATAAGTTTTACAAATTCACTCGTCATTTAGTACCTTCTCTATCTCTTGATCCATCTCTTATTTCAAAAATTATGTATAATTTGTTTTTTTTTTAATTATAACATATATATATACAGGGTGTCCCAGAATTGCCGTACAATCTCTCGTAGGCAGGTAGAAGGAGTAAAACTGAGTCGAAAAGTCCTGAACCATTTTTTTCTATTATTTATAATAAAGGAGTAATTATTGGGTAAATCAGGCCAATCAGCGCAGACCTTTAGCCATACGCACGTCAGTGAGCGCTCACACGCGCTCACACACACGAGGCGCGCGGCTCACTGACGTGCGTCTGGCTAAAGGTCTGCGCTGATTGGCCTGATTTACTCAATAATTACTTCTTTATTATAAATAATAGAAAAAAATGGTTTAGGACTTTTCGACTCAGTTTTACTCCTTCTACCTGCCTACGAGAGATTGTACGGCAATTCTGGGACACCCTGTATATATATATATATATATATAATATCTCGTCTAACAGTTATATATAATACATATAAATGAGAAAAAAGCAAAAAACTCCGTGAGCCACATTACAGGGAAAATATAGCTTTCGTCTAGCAATGACGATGTTTTACGAGCAAAAAGTGCGAGCGGTTCTGTATCTAGCGGAAGCAACGATTACAGAGCGCGGCGGCGACAAATTTAACAAAAAAACAAAAAAACAAAAAACAAAAAAAAAAAAAGATGAACGGGGAGAAGAGCGCTGAGACAACAGGACGAGCAAATGGGTGGTGAGACGACAGTGTTGTGTGGACAGAGGTATAGACGAGAGAAAATAACAGTCCCCTTATTCCACCCTTTAATCCTTTTACGCGCACAGGCACTACACCGCCGACTGTATTCCGGCTGGCGTACGCGATGGGGTATACGATGCGTCTAGACAAAATAATGATTTGGATTTCAATACATTTGCATTCATTACCCCGGGGCAGGCTCTCTCTTTCTCTCCCGGTCGCAGCTTGTGATCCGGGCGGTCTCTTCTTTCGCCATTCCACATTTCGCAGAGTTACGCTCGTTATCATACGAATGTTCCGCTCGTACCGATGGCGCTCGTTCCGTCGAAATGCCACACAGGCACAGGGGAAGCAGATCGGCGTGCGAGCAAAGACAGAGATAGGAAAGGGAACATCGCTTCAGATTTTCCGCGACCGCTCACGTGGTTAATGAGTCGAGTGTTGCGCGCCCGTTTCTCTTTTTATATATATATATATATTTTTTTTTTCCTCTTCAAGCACACGTGCGCGCGCTCTGAGTCTGGTCTGAATTGCACTAAAGTAGAAGTACTTGATACGCGCAATTTGAAACCCGACTCGCACAAAAACAACGATCAATTCGTATATCTATTCAGTTTTCATCGGTTCTACTTTTTATTATCGCGAATCGCTATTTAATATGTAAACTAGTTGCTTACCGTCATCATCTTTTATCTTAATGACAAATTATGTGACAAATTTCATGCAAATATTTTCGCACGAATAAGTTCAACTCGGAACGGCAAGACTCAATCTTGAATCTTTTTCTTATCATTATGGTGCACGTTATTATGATGATTAAACAAATTTAAAAAGAGACTTACAGGCTCCAACATTCCATCTCCGTCTTTTCCTAAAGAAGAACCTTCGGCCCAACCCATTTTTGAAAGTAATTGAAATCCCTTATTAGCCTTAGAAATTGCCCTGCAAGTAAAACATCTTTGTTGTGTGACTCAATACTTATATAAACGTACGTGCGTTTATTTCAACATGTATACAAATGTGTGTATATATACGCACACGCGTACTTACGTGTCAACAGAACTTTGTTCTGTCTTAGCGCGGTGATGCGAGGAACCTACATTTTGTCTTCTGGCTTGTGCTCTATCTTGATAACCCGACGCGAGTTGACTGTTAGACGTAACACTGTCCTTTTCAATTCCGAATTTATGTTTCAAACGTCGTAACTCTTCCTTATGAAGTTCCCTCTTTGAAGTTGTATTTTCTTCTAAGTTGATGGTTTGTTGAACAAGACCTGGTTCGCAATGACCACATGTTTCATTTCCTTTGTGAATGTGGCATAGCAATTTCGTTCCGCTAATTTTTATAATCGAGCCATGTGTAATATCATAAGGTTCAGATTCTTGTTTAGCTATTGACAATCTTTTGCCATTTAAAATTGTACCGTTTCTCGAACCAGTATCAACCACTTGATACTGTTTTTTATTTTCATCGTATATAAAGCGAGCATGGAACTAAAAGAAGAAATAAAAATATTTATTATATATCTCAAGATATGAACAATTATTATATATAATAAAATGACATAAAATGAAGTATATGTATCAATTATTATACCTTGCTAATATTTATGTCAGGTATCAGTACTGAGTGATCTCCTTCTCGACCCAATGAACCTCCTGTGCATGTGACAAGGAAAAGAGAGCCTACTTTTAATTGTGCCATATCAGTTTCTTTGACAATAATTCTCATACATGGAGGATAACTTTTTGCTAAATCTGAAATTGATTTAAATCTGACATTATATACACATTCTCTCAACAATTATAAAACTTTATATTTATACATATATTATTTATAAATATATACTTTATATTATTTATAAATATATACTTTATATATTTTATATTCATATTTTAGATTTCTTAAAAATAATTGTACATCTTATAGAGAATTTAATGCATCATAATCACGTTCTATAAGTAAACGATGTCTACGCAAGATTACAGTAAAAAAAATAAAATTAAACATTTTAATGAAAATTCTATAATGTGATTGAGTCTGTGTAGAAGATATTTAATGTTTTACAATTTATATAAGAAACTTGAAATAAAAACTCGAAGTCAACAAAATCAACACTTGATTAAAAAAAGATTGATCAATTTTTATAATTTATACATATATAAAACCAGTCTTTGAGAGAGACAGAAGAAAACACGTAAACTATTGTTTAAATTATTTTAAAAACATAATACACATATATATAGAATTAGAAATGAACAGTAATTTTAAATTACAAACACAAAAATATCATAAAAAGAAAGTATAAGACAGATAATAAACAATAACAAATAACAATAAACCTTGTTCATTTTCATGGTCGCTTTCGCTATCAGTAGATATGTCATGTATATTAGTTGTAATATCATCACTTTCACTGTTTGAACATTCACCTTCCTCAGGCTCATCACCTCCAAAATTTTCATCTTCATTTGCCAATTTTCGTTTTTTTACGTCATCCTACAAGATAAATTATATTAGAGACACAAAATAATTACCTAGAGCTTGTCGCCTATATTTTTCAATTCTTAAATTTGAAATTGCCATTGTTAATTCATTTATTTCATCTAAATCCTGTAACTAAAAACATTGTGTATCATTTTTTTTTGCAAAAATAAATATGAAAACAGAATTAATAAAAGATTGTAACCTTATTTGTTTGAATTTGTTGGTCTTCTTTCTTTTGAGAAACTTGTGCACCATCTTCAGTACAGGTTTGTACTTGACTATGGGGTTGATATGTGTTACTAGTTTTATCATAATAATAATATGTTCCAGTATTTCCATCATAATATAGACCTTGTTTCTAAAATAATATTAGTTCTGTAATAGATTTGCTTTATATTATCTCTATTCTGTAAAAAAACACAGAATATTTTGCAAAGATAAAAAAATATATACCGTATCATAATAATATCCAGTATTATAATCATAATACATTCCTGATGTTGCCTCATAAACAAATCCGGTCTGTAACAAAGCTGATTCTGCTACTTCTTTCACTTGATCCGCTATACTGGATGACTTATCATCACTCATATTCCAATCGTGTGATGTTTGGTCGTGATTAACAGTATCTGTCTGAGTTCCATAATCTATGTACGTTCTAATATGAAGAAAATTTTTATTCTTCTACAAAATAAATAATACACATTGTAAGTGCTAGTAAAGATGTTTAAAATCATAAGTGTAATTTTTTTTACAGATATATTTCACATATATACCTTATTATAAATATTGACAAATATAAACAAATGTAATTAAAAACAAAAACAATTATCTATTTGATCGAAAATACATACCTGTTCGTTGAGTTTCTTTCGTAGTTTATTAATTTTTTTTTGTTGCCTTTTAATAACAAAAAGCAAACGTTGTATATATCGTAAAACATGAGGCAAAGTGTTCAGTTCCTCTGTAAAATCTTCCTCGAAATCCAATATAATTTCACTTTCTTCACTTTCACTATGCATTTTCGATTCGTTTGCAAATGCAATCTTACGAGAAATGAAGAAGAATAAACATTTATATAAAATTACACATATGTGTACACACGTATACGTGCACACATTACGAGTCCAGTTTTATAACCAAGCCCATAAATCATTCAGCCATTTTTTTAATCGCTTAAATATCAAATGAATTATGTGGAGCGATCGAATTGACAATGTTTAACATACATACCACATAAGTACATAAACTTTTTCGAAGAAAAACAGAATTTTTATGGTTAAATCGGTTTTTTCTTTTCATTGCCAACGTATAATCTACAGGTTTTTGCAATGTTTGCTATACTGAACGGTGATGCTGACATCTGGAAACAGCTGTTTGTTACTCCCAACGCCCCCCAATCATTTATGACCATCATGGCCGCTTCCAGGCTGAAGAAGCCGTCGAAAATGACATTTGTTAGATGAAAGAGATAAAAGTGTGCCTACGTACGTATCATCTTTTTGGATAAAAATCAACAGCGAAGACTTATATAATTAAAGGTCATTACCTTACTTCTCGATTTGAATGATGTGAAGATCGTGTAAACTTTTATAAACTTGTGCGCGAATGTTCTCCCATCACACTTGTCTTGTGCAAGTAGTACTCGGTAATTTATTAAAATTTTGTTTGAACTTGTTTGGACTACACCCACATGAAATGAAACAATGATGCCGATAAAGGACAATCAAGATGTGGCATGCTTTCTGGTTACCAAACATTCTACATGGAAGGGGAAGTAAGTGCAATTTTTTTTTATTACTTGAACAGTTTTCTTCTTCTGTAATTGAGTTATAAAATGTTTGAAAGATATATATATAGAAACAAATAAATAACCAATATATCAAAGAAGATTTTAATAAGATCTCTACAGGTCTATACACAATATACAGAAGCCGATATCATTCTTGCAATTTAAAAGCAAAAAGTTTTAACTTTAAGAAATCTATATTTGTAAATTTATTGTCTTTTATGAAGAAATAATATATTTCTGTTACTTGTAATAGAATGTTTTAAATAAAACTTAATTTTTTTTTCTATCAATATTAATGCCGTGTGTTTGAGATACATAAAACAAGTGTGTCATATTTTAGATACAAACGTATTTTCTCCATTGGTTCTATGGGAATAACAACATATAATCCTGGAACATTGGAGGTCACAAACAAATGGGAGTATTCTGACTTCATAAATGTGCAACCAACAAACAAAAGTCAATTAGGCTCCCATGAATTTACCATAACTGTACGTAAAGAACGGAAAAATGATACTATGAAGTTTAGTTCTGAACATAGACCACATTTGCTGACAGAAGCTCTTAAATATAGAAATCAAGTTGAAAAACCAAAAGAAGTATTGGTGAGTTTGTACATGTATATGTTTTTCTTTTTCTTCAGTCTTTATGTGTGTTTTTATACGTGGAGATAAATATATACATGAAACAAAGAGAAAAATATGTAAGCTTTATACATGTATATAACAATTCTGTACATATATGTAACATAAGCAAAATATAATGCTTATATTTGTAGAGATATCAAGCATATAAACATCATTGGTCTGATACAAGATTGCCTGTTGTACTAGAAATAACTCCGTACAGTCTCGATCAATTAGATCCTGCAACAAACATGGTATTAGCTAGTTATTATTACAAAGATTTTGAAGGGCTTTTGACTATGAAAGATTACCCTAATGGATTTGTAATTGTATGCGGTGGATTTGGTCGTCTACATCTTTTCGCGTCTGTACATATAGAGGAGATAAAGAAAAAGTTGCAAGAAGCTGCGTTAAATAATTTAGGCATTAATATAAAAATGTTAAAGGAGCCTATTAAACTTGATGACTTCATTGCTCAAAGATTAGGAAAATTCAGCGGTGACGAGCATATAACAAGCGTTTCGGAATTTACCGTACACAAGATTTCCTCCCGACACCTGGATCCTCAGAGAAGAACGCTTTGTCTTTCAGAGACATGTCTGTTGGAGAGAGATCCACAAACATATAATATTTGTACTCTTAGGCCGTTATCGGACATTTTTACTTTGGTTCGTGATAATGATAATCCTCAGCTGTTTACAATACAATACCTTAATGGTCAAACGCGCAGTTATACAGCGACAAATAGAGATTCGTTGTTGGCGTCCTTGCTGGATGGTGTGAGAGCATCCGGTAATAGAGATGTTCATGTGAAGATGTATCCAATAGCGAGAGGTAAAAGACTCGGGCCCTTTAATCTACCCGTTGACGAAGAAGTCGAAACAACACATGTAAAGTTTCTTCAACAACCACTTGGAGGACGTACATTTGCTGAAATTCTCGAGAGATTCAATGCAAATATACCATACAGTGGTCTCAATTATTCCGTTACTCAAGACGTAAGGAAAATCAATTTTCTTTCGAATTGTGTACATATGTGTGTATGTGTGTGTGTATATATATATATATATAAAAGACAATTAAGACGTATCTCAATTGGTTATATAAACTTGTACATAATACAGTACATTGAAGCGGTTACTTGGGGATCATTTCGCAATATTCTTGAAACTTTATATGTAACCGAGACGCATGTAAAGATGGCTTTTTCTATCTTTTGTAAAGTATATGTAAATAAGAGTATAAAGTTTCAAATGAATATTTTATATTAAATGTAAATAAGACATAATGAAACACATGAAGATGTTTTTTGTTTATCCAGGAAGTTGTACCGCTTGAATGGACTGTAACAACGTTACAACTTCAAGTACATCGTATCACGAATGATTACTTACAGGGAATATTTACTGAGAACAAAGACAAGATTATCTTGGGAGCTTTGAATACTCTGATCAGCAAAGATCTGGAAACGAATAGCGAGATTGAGGCGCAGTTTCATGCATTACGTAGATTGGTGGCTAGCAAGATTGGTTTTGCCGCATTCACAACACTTTCTGGTTTTAGAGAAGCTGTTGGTACGAAGGTCGTAAAGGCTTTAAAGAAACAAAATAGCGGGGTGACACAGGCTGCCATCGATTGTATTTGCGCTTTGATGCAACCTATGCACGACGACTGCGATTTAAGACAAGAACAATTGAACAAGAGTAGCTTGCTCAGCAGTAACAAGTTTTTAGAAAGTTTGCTCGAAATGTGGGTTAGTCATATTGTAAGTATTCCAGGAAATTGGATTAGACACAGTCTCTTTTATTTGTTTTTTTTTAATTTACTGATATGTATGTTTTAATATTACAGAATCATGGCACAGGTGCTCTAGTAGTCTCTGCCATGCTCGACCTTTTAACATTTGCCCTGTGCGTGCCGTACAGTGAAACAACCGACGGTAAACATTTTGATAATCTTCTAGAGATGGTTGCAGCGAGAGGCAGATCATTATTCAGACTGTTTCAACATCCTTCACTGGCTGTGGTGAAAGGTGCTGGATTGATAATGCGAGCAATTATCGAGGAAGGCGCGCCAGAAGTAGCAGCAAAAATGCAAGAGCTGGCACTTGCCGAAGGAGCTTTACCGAGACATTTATTGCATAGTTTATTTACTGTTGGTAGTGATAGTAGATTGTTAACACATCGACAATTGTGCCGACATTTGGTAGGCTTGTGGGTCACGGGACATCCCACAGCTATGGGATTACTGAAACGCATTATGGTGAGTTAATTATTATTATTTTTTTTTAATAGATGCGCACTTATAAAAAAAAAACAGAGTATTGTTAAAGTGTCACAATAATAACGTAAAAATATTGCAATTTCTTCTGTAGCCAGTTGGTTTGTTGAACTATTTGGACTCTGATGAAAAAGTACCGGATTCATTCTTGGAAGAAGAGAGACTGAACAATCGCGACAATTTGAAAATCGCCATAGATCACGCGTCAAAAAATAAAAAGAGCCCGCAATGGATCGCCATCGAACGTCAGATGCGGGTGGTTGAAAAACACGTGGAAAATGCTTTGCAGCACTGGGGCGCGCGTATCGGAATAGAACGAAGAGAAAAGATCAAGGAACGTCCGATAGTTTTGAGAAAACGTAGAGAACGAATTAAATCCGAAGCGAATTGGAAGTTATTCTACTATAAGTTTAATCAGGATCACGCACTGCCAAACTTGATTTGGAATCACAAAACGAGAGAAGAGTTGAGAATAGCGTTAGAAAATGAGATACGCGCATTTAGCTCGGATAAAGAATTGGCGGGCGGAACATTGATCGCGTGGAATCATAGAGAATTTGAGGTGCAGTATCAGTGTCTTTCGGACGAAGTTAAAATCGGAGATTACTACTTGAGACTTTTGTTGGAGAAGGACAGTCCTGACAGCCCGATAAGAAAATCGTAAGTATCTTAGATAATTGTTTCGCATCATTTAATGTGAAAACAGTTCGTTTGCTGTCTGATTAAAAAAAAAACATTTAAAAAATTTCTAATAATTTTTGTCATTTTTAATTTACAGATACGAATTTTTTAATGATTTATATCATAGATTCTTGTTGACTGCAAAAATCGAAATGAAGTGCCTTTGCTTGCAAGCAATGACGATAGTATACGGACGATATTACGAGGATATCGGCCCATTCTCAGATACAAAATATATACTAGGCATGTTGGAGCGTTGCATAGATAGAACGGAGCGTGATAGGCTAGTTATGTTCATTAATAAACTCATACTACATAGGCGAAATGTCAAAGAGATAATGGATCAAAACGGAGTGCGAACACTAGTTGACTTATTGACGTTAGCACACTTACATACTTCCCGAGCTGTCGTACCCACGCAAACCAATGTGATAGAGGCAGGGCCGCAGCAAGAACGAATGGAGAAGGAATGGTATTACAATAACGGTGATCAACGTGAAGGTCCGATAAGTTTGAAGGATCTAAAAGAGAAGTACGCTTCAAGTCAAGTGACTCACAAAACGAAAGTTTGGTCGCAAGGATTAGACGGATGGAAAACAATTTCGCAAGTGCCACAATTAAAATGGAGTCTTGTCGCGAAAGGCACTCCTGTAATAAACGAAAGCGAATTAGCTACTCTAATCTTGAATATTTTAATTAAGATGTGTGAATATTTTCCAAGTAGAGATGCCGACGACGCGGTTATCAGACCGTTGCCACGTGTAAAGCGATTGCTATCCGATCTTCAGTATTTGCCGCATATTGTGCAGCTATTGCTAACGTTTGATCCGATCTTGGTCGAGAGAGTTGCTACATTGTTATGCGAAATAATGCGAGATAATGCGGATGTGTCGAAAATTTATCTCACCGGTGTATTTTATTTTATTCTAATGTACACCGGTTCTAACGTTTTGCCGATCGCAAGATTTCTACAGCTTACGCACACTAAACAAGCCTTCAGAAATGATGATGTAAGTTTATAATATAAATGTATTTTCTGTTCCTTTACACGCATGTAAAAGACGTGTAAACATTAATGTCGCATGGTTTTCTAGAACACCTCTTCAGATATCATGCAACGAAGTATTCTCGGTCAATTATTACCCGACGCGATGGTGAGTTATTTAGAAAATCACGGAGCAGAGAAATTTGCGCAAATATTTCTTGGAGATTACGATACACCAGAAGCGATTTGGAACGCAGAAATGCGACGAATGCTTATTGAGAAAATTGCTGCACATATTGCAGATTTCACTCCCAAGTTACGAAGCCATACCATGGCCAGGTATCAGTATATCGCTATACCTGCTGTGAGATATCCGCAATTGGAGAATGAATTATTCTGCCAAATATTCTATCTTAGACACCTTTGTGATACTGTTAAATTTCCACAGTGGCCTATTCCAGAACCTGTAAGTGTTGAAAAAAATCTTAATTTTTTATGTAATACACAGACAATAATTTAATTAAATAACCGTAACATATATTAAATCAGGTGCAGTTATTAAAAGACGTATTGGACGCGTGGAAGAAAGAAGTGGAAAAAAAACCACCTTTAATGACTGTAGACGAGGCTTACAGACAACTCGGCTTACCTAGTGGAAAACAGCATGATGGTGCAGTTGTCAGAAAATCGTTTTATAAATTAGCTCAAATGTATCATCCCGACAAAAATCCTGACGGCAGAGTAAGCCTGTTGTTTTTTTCTTATTGTGACTTTGTTTTAACAAAATGTAAAGTATATGTCAAGAATAATATAAATTTATTATTCTTTTGTATAAGTTGTTCATGAAAATATAATCTGACAACAATTGCAGGATAAATTCGAAGCTGTTAGTCAGGCATACGAATTTCTATGCAGCCGCAGTTGTTGGTCAACTACCGGTCCTAATCCCGACAACATCGTTTTGATATTAAGAACTCAGAGCATTCTTTTCCATCGATACACGGACGAACTTAGACCTTACAAATACGCTGGATATCCCCAGTTGATTAAGACGATCAAACTAGAAACGGATGACGAGCGGCTATTTTCCAAATCTGCTCCATTACTAGCAGCTGCGAGCGAACTTGCGTACCATACGGTTCACTGTTCGGCATTGAATGCGGAGGAATTGCGAAGAGAGGGTGGTTTGGATGTGTTATTGGAAGCGTATACGCGATGCGTGTCCGTTTTAAGCAAATCGAGTAAACCTACCGACATAGCGGTACAAGTTTGTACGCATATCACTAGATGTTTCTCTGTTGCCGGATCGTTCCGTGGATGCAGAGATAAGATCATTGAACTGCCGCAACTTGTAAAGGACCTTTGCAGAATACTGCATTTCAAGGTATTTGGATTTAAACATAGATGTGAAATATAGGGTAAGAGAATTTTTTTTCAGGAACATTTGTGTCAATTTTGATTTCGTTTTCTTTTACAGCACTTAACGAAATTATGTGCAGTAGCCACAGAGTGTATTTCATCTCTTGCTATAGATAGCATATTACAAATGCAGTTATTGCAATCCGGTGCTTTGTGGGATCTGTTGCTTTTTATGTTTAACTATGATTACACGTTGGAGGAGGGCGGCGTTGAAAGAAATCAGGACGAAAATCGCCAAGAAGTAGCCAATAACTTAGCTAAGGTGGCAGTTCGTGCTTGTGCTAGATTAGGTGGTTACATGAAGGGAGAAAACGAGACACCAGTTAACCCAGTTACAATTGCCGCTTTAGAAAGTTTGTTAACACCTTATCTAGCACGTCAACTTAGTAAAGACAAACCCGAAGAGATCTTGAAAATATTAAATTCTAATTGCTCAAATCCATATTTGATCTGGGACAACGGAACTAGAGCGGAGTTGAATGAATATTTAAAAAAGAAACGGAGATTAAACGATAGCGACGACTTCGAACATGATTTTAGCGATTTCAAGTATAGCGCACACGCTGGGGAATTGATAATCGGTGAAATATTTGTGAAAGTGTACAATGAACAGCCAGTATATCCGATTGAGGTAAATCAATTTGTTTTAAAACCAAATTTTCTAAAATACCTTAAGATAACACAGAGAAAAGATAATTTTAGGAAAAATATTTTATTTTCAGAATGCAAAAAGTTTTACGATAAATTTGCTTGAATTTATATCAATGCATTCTTTAGAGTATTTGAGGTCAGAAGTTATTGCGTTAGATAAAAAAGATTTGAAGCAGTTGGAGCACATCGTTATGGCGCTTATAGCTCTGAAGAATGTTATCAAAAATAATCCTGGAATCGAATTACAATGTATGGGACATTTTAAACTGCTGTTTGGACTTCTGAGTTGTAACAATTATAAGTTAATTCAGAAGAGCGCCCTAGAAGTAATCAGTAATGTTACCAAAAATCAGGAATGCGTTGAAGATATAGCTGCGAGTGAAGTTGTAGTGCATTTGTTGTTATGTTTGCACAGCCTGAAGGAATGTCAGCTTCTTGCATTAGAAACTTTGTATGCGTTGATGAGTTCGACTAAAATTGTAAAAGATGCATTAGCGAAAGGTTTGTAAGAGTAAATTTTTACACAAAGAAGATTAACGTTTTGGTTGACAAATCAATAAAATCTTTTGTATGGTTAGTTAAAAACCTTAAATAATGTATTTAATATTTTTTAGGAGCTGTTGTGTATGTTCTCGATCTGTTTTGCAATTCAAGTAACGTTCAGATAAGAGAAGCGGCGGCTGAATTACTCGCGAAAATGTCGTCCGATAAATTGGCCGGACCGAAAGTTAAACTTGATCTGTCGAAATTTTTACCCAGATTATTCAGTGAAGCTATTCGCGATGCACCCAAGCAGTGTGTACATATGTTCGAAACAAAACATGAAAATCCTGAATTGATATGGGACGACGATGCGAAAGCTAGAGTAGCACGAATCGTCGCCGAGTTAAAAGAGGAGTAAGTCCAATATTTTATCAATTAATATGTATTCTATTCTTTTTTCATTTTTGTTCTTTTCTTTTTTTATCGATAAAAGTATTTTGCCTCACTGTTCTAAATGTAATCAGTAATTGTGAATGGTACTTTGGTTATTTTTTTTAAGATACTACGCGCTGCAGAGGCGAAATCCAAACGCTATATTGAAGTTACCTGATACACAAAATAATATCGATATCGCGACTAACGAGCCCGTTGTGGGAGGAGTATATCTTAGGTTATTCATAGCTAGTCCTGCTTGGGCGCTTAGAAAGCCAAAAGAATTCTTGAGCGAGCTAATGGACACCACGTTAACGTTGATGGCCAGGGAAAAGACTGATGTGAGCATTATTTTAAAAAATCCATAATGTCTTACACCAAGATTTTACACACATATTCGATATTTAATATTTACATAATTGTTCCGTATTTATTTTTCTTATCTAGACGGATATGTTGGAATTGTCGACACAAGCTCTGGTGTGTTTACTTCAAGCGCAACCTAGTTTGGCGGACCAAGTGCCGTCCTTGGGACACATACCACGACTCTGTCGACAAATGTCTGTTCAGAATAGTCAACCGTCAGTATACAAAACAGCTATATTAATTCTTCATCAATTGGCTACAAGCGAAGTAAGTAAATTGCGTATACATGTATCATCTGTACAAGTTATATTTTTTAATTTGACTTATTTACTTTCATGCAGGTTTGCATCTCATCTATATGTCAAACGGAATGCATTAGTCCATTAAAGCATGCGATGCAATCGAGAAGAGACATGATTGCTGTCGCATGCGAGACACTGAACAGATTATTCTCGACGAACGAAGATAGACTTATCAAGCAGGTACGTGTAAAAAACATTTATAATGATTGTGTGAGATAAAATACCACGTTCACAAAAATGTCAATCAAAAAAATGTTATCCTGTGTAGGCACTAGACGCCGAAATGGTACCATATCTCCTAAATATATTAGAAGGGCGATTAGACATTGTCGAAAACCCTGCCACAACTAAAGCGCAAATAGTGAAAGCGTTAAAAGCCATGACAAAAAGTTTGCTTCTTGGCGAAAAAGTCAATGCTATTTTGGAAAAGTCAAGTGTTTGGGCGGAGTATAAGGATCAAAGACATGATCTGTTTATTTCTAACAATACAAGTTCTGGTTATCTTACAGGTAAGATGTGATATATGTTTTTATGATGCATAAAAAGATACTATACTTTTTTTTCTTTTTAACCGTCAATAAGCTGCTTTATTGTCTTTAGCTGGAACACCTGTATCCGCTGGCTACTTAACAGCAGGGCCAAGTACAACTTTGACCACGGGCCCACCACCTGTAGACAAGGAAGATTTAATTAATAGAAACGATAGCATCTGATACAGGTAGCATCGTAAGTGGTACAAAAGATAAGTAAAAGAATGTTGATATATACAGAGATTCCTGTCGGTGAATAATACCGATCTAGAGATATCATGTCTGTGATTTTTGGCTTCTTAATGAAAGAAATCTATTAACTGAATATTGTTTTTGCTATATAATCTCTTTGTGTTATACAATATAATATTTCGTTCTTTAATTACACATTTATATACGAACGAAAATAATGTAAGTGTAAAGCTTAAACTTAGTCAGTTTTTAAGACAAAAAACAGATATAATATATATATATATATGTAAGAAAAATTGTAATATCGTAAAACACAACTTTATATATTATATCAATATGAACAGATTTTCGAACGAATTTTTACCGTGTAGTCAACAGCATTGTATGTAAATGTGAGCCACGAACAGAGTTTGTTACATTTCTGACAAAACAAATTTACATTTGTAAATTTGCAGGGTGTTGCAAAAGAATTTGATAGTATTGTCTGACACGTTCAACGTTAATTCTTTTTATTGAAAAAACAAGTGAAGAAATAATTATCAGCTAATGAAAGCTTGGTTTAGGGCAACACGAATGCGAATTTCTGTTTTTATTTTATTCTTATTTTGCTCTTTTTTAGTTTCCGACTATAAAAAATCAACAATTTTAAATTAAAGTTAATAATATTCTTTCTACGTACAATTCTATTTGTTTATACGTACGTTATCTCTAGGCTTAATTATGCTCTAATTACGTCTTCACTTGAATTTTTCACGAAAGAAAAGTCGATATCATAAAAAAAACATTATTTTCAACAATTTTCACATCATTAGGAAACACCTTTGCATATGTATATAATGCGAGATATAATAGATATATATATTTAGTTCTTAATAAGATTACTTGTAAGTTTATGTAAAGATTTTCGAGAACCATGAGTAAGATTTACGTAATAATTTGCAGTAAAATCAAAAACAGAAAAAAATAAAAAAAATAATAATAATAAAGGAGGAAAGAAAAGAAAACCATCCATCAGAAATTCATATGTAGTAACGCAACATAACTTTCTCTGTGATAGCATGTTAAATGTGACGGAGACATAAATAAATAAATAAATAAACAAGATGCCGACGTGATTTAAATCTCGTTATTGCGAGAACACATTTTCAGTGGTCACATTCCAACCAGTGTCTCGAAGCTATAAAATGTACTTATATAAAATTTAGCACAAAAATCTCGCGAAAAATAGAATGATTTTAACAGAGTAAAACAATTTCTACTTATATTAATAAAAATCTCTGATATGTTTATTTATATAAAATTTGTGTTTTTTTTAGTGAAATGAAAAGTTCAATTAATTACAAAGTATTATAAGTACCGGTATTTATTTGCATCTCGTTTGTATATAACAACTTTTTTTTTTAGAAAAAAAGAGATATATATATTTTTAAATATTAAAAGATATATTTTTCCGTGATTGTGCATGTTCATAAATCATCAAAATTTGATCACACTTTGGATTTTAGATAAATACGTCTATATGTCTGCTGTTTATTATCTTAAAAATATATATATTACACTTTATGTATATTTACTATGAGAAAAAAGAAAATACTATTTATATCATTATAATTATATTAGAAAATGGCAATTTTTGTATGACCTTTCTAATATTTTCCAATTATACAGAAATATGACATAATATTATTCAAGTTGTTAAATTGCAGGTTATTTCAGTCTATTTAAACTAGAAATAATAAAAACTATTAAAAAATCCAAATTTTTATTTTGTCGTTTGTTTTAAAAGAATACATTGAATTCTCCGATTTATTCCGTATTTTATATGATTAACACAAAAATTTCTATATGCACGAATTGTTCAAGAACGATCTGATAATATTAAAAAAGAAAATTTTCCAGGACGTGGTATTCATTTGTAGTCTAAACTATGCGGTCCGAAAAAACCGTCTAAAGAAATCTAAATCTTAGAAATTTTGTAATGTTAGATTTTTTTTAAAAATATTTAAATATATTTGTGCCAGGCAGTACTTCGTATTTATATCAATTGCTAATTAATATATAACCGAAATTATATCTATTATTTTAATAACAAAGCGCAACACACACACACACACATATATATATAGGGAAAGATCTTAAACTACACTATGAATGCAAATTATATTTCTTTCCTCTTTTCTAAAGCAGAGACCATTTTTTGTTTAAATTTTTTATAGAATATGCTTACCACTACTTTATATCTTTATATGCACGATTCATCGAATTTATCTTTTCTAAATAAAATAAAAACCAATGGAACAAAATGTGTATATGTATGTGAATACGTTGCAAATACAATACTGTGACTACAGCGCAACATACTGTATAAACATTTTGTTAGTACTACGAAGTTAAGTTATATTTTTGCCTGAGATTTTTTTTTTCAGATTGCGAATAACATATTGTATATATACACACGCATATATACATAGGAAAAAAAAAATTATACCACCAGATTATTGTACATGTATGATTAGAAAATAAACAATTTTGCACGTGATATAACACAGTTCTCTTTGAATGACAAGGGATTTTGTTGATATATTTTTTTTTATTATTGTATTATATTAATTCTGTTTGTTATGCATTATATAATTTATGTTGGTTAATCTTACTTTCATCTGATTCTTGTAGAACCTCACATAGATTTAAATATTTGTCTTCCGAATAGGTACTGAGTAATTGATCCAAGCTTTGTTTCAATTCGGTAAAAGTAGGTCTACTTTGTGGTCGCGCATTCCAACACGAGTACATTATATTATATCTGAATTTAAAAAAATAAAATATATTCAAGATTTTTATATGTTCGACAGAGAATTGAAAACTTCTAAAGGAAGATCTGTTTATGAGCGTGAGTTATATATGTCAAATATATAAAATATATGTTTTACACACACACACACGCATATATATACCTACAATTCTTGTCCACAATTTTGTGGTCTTTCCATCCGATATCCACTTTTGAGAACCTCCAGAATTTTGTTTGTGGGAGTACCGGGATAAGGCGTGGCACCTAAAGTAACTATTTCCCACAACAAAATGCCAAACGCCCATCTATAATTCAAATTTTATCGTAAAAAAGCAATTAAGAGTGTATTACTAATAAATAAATTAATGTGTATCTACACATATATATATATCTATAAGACGATATTTACACATCGCTGTAAGTGGAATATATTTGATGCGTTAAAGCTTCGATTGCCATCCATTTCAAAGGGAGCTTTCCATTTCCTTTCTTACGATAAACGTTTTCTTGATAAATATCGCGACTAAGGCCAAAATCTGATATTTTCACCACCTTATCTGATCGCACTAATACATTTCTTGCAGCCAGATCACGATGCACTATTCGATTTGAAGATAAGAATTCCTAAAACACAACATATTACATAGCAACATAGTCATCATATTCTAATTACAATATAACAAAGTATATTGAGAAAGCAAATATTGTTTTAATGTGCAAATAGATATATATATTGAAGTAATAGTAGTATACCATCCCTGTGGCTACTTGTCTCGCAAAATTTAATAAATCAGCAGACGTGACGTTCTCTGTGTATTTTATAACATCTGAAAAACATATCATCGCAAAATTATATTGTCAGCATTGGATATGCTGCTGAAAATAATTTCTCTGTCATTACCTTGCTGAATATCGTACAAGCGATTAGCGATTGTGCGCGTGTTATTATGGTAAGATCCGTTTTGTTCTACGTGACAAGAAAAAAGCTTTAAATAAGACGTGATATTAATCGGATATTTTATAAACGTAAGCGAACGTATATGTACATACTAAAATCTTGACGCTTGTTTTTATTCGCAAAAGAAATCGGATCGTATTTCAAACGAATTCTATGCTGGGATACGGTATTTACTAAATTCTGCCAGATCTAAAAATAATAATTTTAATTTAAATAAATAGTTTTCTGTCTGTGATAGACTTGAGAAACTTTTTACTTGCAGCGCATTTGTAAGCTTTACCGTTTTTAAATATGTTTGCAGATCACCCTTGCTGCAATATTCAACTACTAGTAAAGGTTTGTTGTACAAAGTGCAATATCCGATTAAAGATACTATATTCGGGTGCTGGCCAGCGGACTTCATTATTGAAATTTCTTGATGAAAACTTTTCAACTCTTCGACCGTTGGATTATCTGACAATAAAAGTTATATTTCATCTATTTGTTTGTAACACTCTTTAATGTATTTATTTTTCTGTTACATGTGTGTGTTCTTATATATATCGATAATACCCTTCATCATTTTGACAGCTACGTCTATAGTGGTGCCAAACTCAACTTGCAACGATGCGAGTCTGACAATACCGTACGCCCCACTGCCCAACAAACCCTTAAGTTTCAACTGTTGTGGACTAAGTTCGAATTTATCATGCGGCAAGAGAACGTCAGCGTTCTCGATCGCGTAATCTCGCTTCGAATGTTTTTTCAGCATATCCGTGGAATCCTGTTAAGCGGACAATCTCTAAAATCTGTTTCCACGTAACTGATGAAATATTATAAAGTACTTTAACATCGAGAAAATGAAAGAAATTTAAATTTTATTTCAACAATAAGAGATCTTTCATAGTTCAATTTCTCTAAAAGTAAAAATTATTAAGTTTCCAGATGTGATATTCAAAAGATAAGAAAAAATAAAACTATTTTAACGAACTGACTTATTGTGTGTGTTAGACTCTCTAGAAATCTCTTCCAAAATTCTAAATAATTTCGAAAGTGCTTGCAATCTAAAAATCAAAATGAATATACAACAGGGGGCGCGTACTTTATGTTATCGCAAGAAGCATGAATATTGTATTACATATCGGGGAAACACAGTATCTCACCTCAAAATGCATATATTCCAACTTAATTCGTTTATTCTTCTTCTTACGATATTGCACGCAAATCACTCCGAATATCACCGTAACAATCACTATTATCGGTAAGGCCACGATGATCTCGTAATAAGACAGTTCTACAACTTTTTTTTTTCCAAAATTGTACGCAAAATTCTTTCAATACAATTCAATTGTAAATCAGTTACAAATAGTTTACATCGCACCTTGTTCACCTGTCGCTTTGTCGATGCTCTCCAATATGGTCGATTGCAAGCTCACTCCGCCCCTTGATTCCGCTATAATACTGATTTCATATCGCGCATCGAGATTGACGTTTAAAAAGGCGGCTTTAATTTCGTCCTATATAAGACAATTAAAAACTTATTATCTAGCGACATTTTATAATCGCCGTAAAAGACGAAGATATCGGTATTATTACGATAATACTGACTCCAGGTACGACCAACATACGCGGTTCGAGTTGGAACGAATCGAATAATAACGTGTAATTGTCCGGCTGCAAAACGGGTTTGTCCCATTTGACTGTAATATCGTACAATCCCTCGTGTTTCTGAATGTTATCAACTCGCAAACCCGTTACTTCTTCAGGCGCTGGAATCGGACGAAAATAATTTATTGTTTATCAAAAATTGACACAGCTAAAATAAAAGTTCAATTGTTTAAAAATAATTCAGTTAATTATTTAAATTACCTTATAGACTCGAACAACATGCAAAATCAAGAGTTTGATCTTTTTTTGGGACAAATTTAATCACGACTTACCGCAAATGCTCAAGTTGTAATGAACTTGCAAGCACGATGGTGTTAGGAAAGTAAATGTCGTTGATTTACTGGTTTTGGTAAAGTCATCGTTCTCCGATTGAATTGATACCGTGGTGTTTTGGTTGTATCGCAAGGGTTTGAGAAAAAAGTGAAAATTTAAAAACTAAAAAAATACATGTGGATAATAATATTTGATAATTTAACAAAGATATGAAATAAGAAACAAATAAATAGGTTTCCTCACCGGTATTAATAAATTGAAATTGATCAAATTGTGCTCCCCTGACCAAAATAATATGTTGTAGGTACAACTTCGATCTACAACAACATAATTGATACACACAATGCATGTATTTCTCGTACACATGTGTAATATATTTTTTAATTATTGAGTAATTGAATAATTACCCTCCATAGGTTCAAAACTAATTTCCGCTTGCAGTTTGCGCGTATTTTTATTTTCCTCAATCTTGACAAGTGAAATGTGTTCAATTTGATAGGGTTGGTAATCAACTGCAAATAGTAATTTTAATTGAGATTTTGATTTAAAAAAATATATAGAAATATGCGTTCAATTATATGGCAAATTGGTGTCCAAGAGTAAAGAAAGTTTGAAATACAATTGATACCTGAATAAGTCGAAAACCAATCCGACATTTCAGCTAAAAAAACTCCATCCTGTGTTATTCTGTGCAAACGGTAACGATAGAGCGTGTTTGCCGTCAAGTTCGAAAAAATCGTTAATTCGCCATTGCTCTACGAAAAATTAATATTTCGTATATATTTGTCTGAAGAAAGTATACTAATGTATAATAAACTTCGTGGATTTCTATTTTACATGCTCAACTTTTTTCAATCGACTAATGTAACGTGCCCGACAAGTGTGAAGGAACATTATTGTCAAGTAATAATATTTATTTGTGTGCAATTAAACATATCGTTGCGCGTCCACTGTTAGTAAACTTACTTATCAGTTAGATTCGTCTTAAAGAAATATGTCTTTCTTGTATATATATTTCTATCTTACATTATCATTATGTAAACTGTTTTTCAACATCGAAGGGCTCTTGCTATGCAATATATACATAATCATTTTTTAGACCTGCACATTGGCTGTATATACAATTTTATTTTCTAGTTTTACGAGTCGTCAACAGTTGTGTGCGCCATAATAAATAAATTACATTCGTGCTCTTTTCTCATAAAAAAAAAAATCTAAAAAAGTATTTACCACCGTGGCTGCGCCCCACGTATCACCGGGATCTTTCTGTTCAACAACGTAGATTCCAGGATTGTGCTTAATTACGAGCATGTGCATTCCTCTGCAGTGTAAGCTGACATTCGCGTTAGTTTTTTCATTTACTTTCGGATAAGCTATCGCAAAACAGTTCTAATGAAATATATATATATATGCAAAGAGATAACTTCACGTTTCAAAGTGTGTTATCTAATTATTTAAACACTAATGTGTAACTTACATTCGAATTCGTCTGTGAGTTGCGGATTACAGTTACTTCGGCACGACACCTGCAAGATAAGCAATTCACTCAAAATTGCAACAACTGGATATCATATTTCCATTGCGTAATAATTCGTGTTATTTTTTTTTTTTTTTAACAATTTTTCTTTCATTATTACTTTTCGAGATATATGTTTGTTTCAATCAGCGTTGCGATAATGACAAACAGCAGCGGCGCGTACAAGATTCAATTCGTACTTCGGCAAGTATTCAGCGGTGTATTTTTGAAACGCGCGTACACAAACGATCGTCGCCGACACGATCACTCGGTAAAACTGCGCACATGTCAAAGCTTGAAATAATAATATTATAAAGCATCATAACGCGTTTTTTTTTTTCATTTGCATCGCACTTAAAATTGAGATTTACATTAATGCGAGATATCGCGGCCGCATTGATGTCTCTTGAGAAACAGAGAGTTTTGAACCTCTCAGACGCAAAAAACACAGGATGTCGCGATCAGATTACGGATTCCTGTTGAAGATATTCCGATTTACGCGATTGCGTGTATGTATGCGTATGTATGTGTGTGTACATGGCAAATTACGTGTCTCTTTTATATCATTGCACATTTATACGCAAAGTAATCGCACGCAATATTGTGCGCAATTGATTCTCAGCTCAAAAACTATATTATTATTATTGTCAACATATGTGGAAATTGAAATTTTTTTGTTTTGCACACAAGTGACAAAAGATATAGAAACGCACACGTTATTTTGATGCGCGTTTGAAAGAATGCGATGATTCGACATAGAGTTATTTCACGTGCTTTGCTTTACCGTCTTAAATCATCATCATTAGCAGCAGTCGACAGCAGGTGCTGTTTAAACAGTCCTTTTTTTTTTCTCGCTGTTATACGCATCGCTTTTACAGAAAATTGCGCACTTTTCTATGCGCATTATAAATCACATATCTTTAAACAATAATTTGCGTAGCAAATTTTTTTAGTATCTTCTGCAATCTCTACTGTAATCATTAGTCTTGCGCAAACAAACAAACAAAGTGAGATATGTAATAATAAAATGTGACAATCGAAGTATTGTATATTTTTACGTGTATGCGCGCGCGTGTGTGTGTGCGCTGCGATATAATAATTGCATCACACAAATCTGTGTTACAATAATTGCATTCTCTCTTATCGCGTTAAATGAATATTGTACAGAGAAAAATATTTGCTCGGCCGTCGAGAGGTTTTTTTCTAATCTAATTCGCATGACCTTCTACAAGTACAAAAAAAAAAAAAAAACGCGAAAATGGAAGTAAACATGTTTAAAACAACTTCATGCATTATACAGTTTACCGTGTCTGCCGCCTTAGCGCGATTTTCTCGTTGAATATAGTTCAATATATATTTGCGATATATAGTCTCTTTAACGTAAAACTGCTGCATTGTTTAGTGTGTATGAATATCGCGCGAGAAATTACGCGCTCACACACACACACACAATATGTTACCTCACATATAAAATTATCTTCTGTTTTTTGTTAATATTAGGTACATGATATTGTTTGCAAATTATCAATGAGTGTATCATCGTCAAATATGTATATCGTCATCATGTGCTTGCAACAAACAATGTCATTAAACACGAGATTTCCGAAGTTTTCTCTTTTCTAAATCTTGGAAAACTCGTTAAGTGTGCGCAACAACGTCTCTTTGCGGCCGAGCCGAGCATGATTGTGTGTATATATCGCTACTTCTCCCGCGATATTGACACAGGTGTCAAAACAAAGATCTAAAATGTGTTCGTTTTATTATTGAGCATATGTGTATTTCGAGTGTGTAGCAAGTATAGACACAGGTGATATGGGATAAATTCCTAGCGAAGAGACCGGAGTCGAAAGAACGCGAGTGTGTTCCTTAAAAGGAGAAATTCGCCATCTGATCACACGAGAGTATCAAGAGACTCTTAATTGAAAAAGCACACACATTCTTTTGCAAATTGAGTATAGGTATAAAAGAATAAATATCAGATCGGAAAGTGTTTCGCTCGGCGCGCAACCATAAGGCTCGACCTTATTGAATACAAACATTGCTTCATATTGACATTTCTATCTCTCGATTGCGCCGCGATATTTATTGAATTTTACGTTCGCTACGTATTATCGCGGCGAATTTTTTCTCCGAGTGTAACGCACTATGATCACCGCGATAAAGATATATTACTATGTACGCATACTTCACTATGACGCGCTTGCTGCTGATACATATGCTTTCGCCAAGCTTGAAGATTAGCAAACAGTTTTTACAAACTATGTAAGCAAATTACGTATACGGTATATCATTAAATTTCTATCTAGGTTATTAAAAACAATTTGGCTTATCTTACGTGCGCATCGGTATTTAAGTATTTTACGCAATATTATCGTGCGTGACATGTAAAAAAAAAAAAAAATATTCCGTTTTAAGTATGTAACTTACGTTTTGACATGTTGCCAGACACTTGGCGAAATTCAGGGCTTCTCGGAAGACAAATCCGTGAATGGATGTAATTACACAAAAATATATCAAAAATACTGATAACATTCTGTAGACTTTTCCAAAAATGTACGCGTCGTTAATTAATCACCGTTTTTTTTTTTTCGAAGTATATTCTTCATACAGTTCGTCGAAAATTAGATTTGAATTTCTAACAGAAATGTAATGCGCGCGCGCATATATTTCTTACTTACTTTCAACTTATTGTTTCGTTTTCTTTCATTTTCAATTAGCTGTATGCCGCAAATTACACGCACGCGCGCTCGAGTGTCGTACAAATTAAAAACTTCAAACGTATAAGTTAAACACTTATTTACATGCCGCAGCACAAAGTAAGTATGTTATTTCAAATTTGCACAATATATATCATCCACTATTATTATTCAACACATGAAATAAACACCGCTCGGGTTTTTTTACAATGTGCATATTTCATGATAAACAATTACATTGTGTTTCAATAACATACATATAAGCGCGAACGGCTCACGTTTGAGTGACATTTTCCGATTAATGTGATAAAACGTTAAAGTATAACTACGAAGCTTACGAACATGACGCAAATGAATCCACATTTGAAGAAGCTCCGCGAGTGTTGTTTCAATACATATTACGTACCCCTCTCCACGTGAAAGAAAAAGAGAGGGAAAAAGGGAGAGAGAGAGAGAGAGAGAGAGATATTACACCTTGTGTGTACGTTAATAAGAGATGAGGTTTGCTCCTACTTCTTCCCTACTCTTTCTCCGATATATTATATGTGTATAAATCTTCGGTTACATTTAAAATTTTTGTTTGCATTACATGTATCCTAATTTTAACCTTGACAAATGTCGAATAATATTTATATTATATGTGTGTAAATAAGAATAGCACTTTTGTGAGGATTTATCATTGTAAGTACTTGAGTTTTCTTCAGACATACAAAAGCTGAAATATGATAATTTGACAACATGAAAAATGTGTACGTATTTATCGCCATAAGATACAAAGCGATAATATGATTGATGAGCTTGCGCATGAAGACTTGTTTAACATCTACATCAGGCTGAAACATTTAAGTAAATTGTAATCATAATTATGTTTAGTTTTTTTTTTTGACAAAACGATCCTTTATTTAGTTACATATCTATATATATATATATTTTTTAACATCAACTTTATATGTATATATGTATATATATATGCATGTAAAACAGAATATACATATACTGCGATAAACAAAACCATATGGTTTATTCTTTTTTAGAAATTATTACACACATGTGAAAAAGATAAATGTTAAATTTTTTTCAAATTACGTAATATATAATCAACAAACATTCTGACATTTCCAAGTTTGTAAAGTAACTTGCCTAATGGACTGTGATCACAATATTGAAGAAACATAAAATGCTTCGATGAGGTTATGTTACGTCCCGGTAAAAACTGCGAATAACAAATTTTCCATTTCTTATTTTGAATAATTCGCATTTATGTAGTGGAAGAGAAACACTAAGAAAAATAGTGCGACTCCCAGGATGTTGCAGAATATTGCGAGTTGTACGTCCGTAATCATTTTGCTGTCCGTAACCATTACTGAAAAAACAAAACAATCTGTTTCAGTTACCATAATTCAAAGGGAAATCAAATGTATATTTTTTTATATCTCTCGCCACACACACATAATATGCATATGTTTAAATTTTTTATAAACAATTTTTTGACAAAGTATTTTTAAATACTTGTGAGACACATAATCACCTTTTGCACAGCTGCGGCCAAACTGCCTCGAGTTGTCAAAACAGCTTGAGCGGTATCACGCTGGTCAATTACGTACCTAAACGATTACAGAGACTCCTATTGGAATTTAAGCAAAGTAATAAACTGTGATAAACGAAATCTTTAAGACTGAATCGCCTTGTTCTGATTGGATGAATTCTAATTTAATCTAATCGTTATCTATGAATAGATAAGCGCCGACTTTAACTAACTGATTTGTAATCAACGGGATTGCTGAGAAAATTAAAGATTCTTTTTTGAAAAGAAAGTACTTTAAAATAAAAACTTATGCTATATGTAAAAATAATCGCAAGAACGTCAGTCTATGTAGTTTTCTATTTTTTAAAAAAACTTTGAATAAACTATCTTGTAGTATTTCATATAAACACTTTGTTTTTTTTTTGTTTTCTCTCTCTATTTCACTCTGTCAAACTCACACGCGTGCCAACGCGTACGGCACACACAATTATAAAAATTTTATATAAATATATTGTTTTTTTTTTAATATAAAAGCTATTAATGTAAGTTGATACGTAAGTTCAAAGTTATAATAATTTTGGTTGCTTTTTTAATGCTGAAAGATCTAATATTCTACTAGGACAAGCGGTTCCAGATGTTTGTACAAGAGGACGTCGGCGAAGTGCAGGATTATCTTTTTCACTTGCCAATTTAAAATCGTGTTTAGATGCTGTTTCACCATATATTTGATCTAAAACACGAGTAAGAATAAACTTTATATTTCTGTATAAAATAATAATACACAAAGAAATTACTTTGTGAATAAAACTTAAAAGGGAGCACAAATCTCCACTACTCACCCTCCATTTGAATGTTATTCTTTCCCGGTATAAGTTGATATCTTTCTAAATATCGCATTGTAGCAAACGACAAATTGGTCCCTTGCATGTTACTAACCATAAGATGTTTTAACGATTCTTGCTTATGCAAAGCTATATCAGCCAGTTGTTCGTCGTTCAAATACTTTAATGCCAGCGCTTTCATATGCATACTCGTGTTTGTTTCGTTTACAATACTGGTAGTTTGTATCATATTTGCTTGGCAATCCAAACGGGGATAAAAAGACGAATCATAATCCAACCTTTTTGAAAGAAAATATTAATATAAATTTAAAAAAATATTAATAGAAATTTTAAAAATTTCGAAAAATTAATCTTAATAATTCTTCAATTACACGATGATTATTGTGAGTAAAAATTAATAGATAAAAGAGACACGTACGACTTGTTAGCATTCGCTTCCTTATGTTCATTGTTTTCAGTCAAACTGATCCCAAGTTTTCGAAGTTGCTCCAACGTAGTTACTTTGACAGTGTTTACAGCTGTTTTGGCTTCCCTATCATATTCTTGCTCATTTTTGCTAGTTGATCTAACGTTATTTTCATCTTTATCATCCATAGCGCCAGAATTTTGCAAGATTTCATTAACTTGTCCCAAAACATTGTTGTATAAGGTCCAACCTATTTTTGGTGTACGTTTCACACTATCACTCTCATCATCGCTCGAATATTCTTGCATCTCAACGTGAATACTTGGTTCTGGAGTTGGTGGTGGTCTTTGAACTACTCTAAGATCACCTTCGCTCAGTGTCATACTATCACTTATATCTCTACTTTGTTTAACATTGTGCTCTCTCTCTCTATAGTTTTGATAATAATCTGTCATAGGTAAATAATTCTGTGAGGCGTTTTCATAAGCATTCATCTTGTTGTTGCTATTTTCTTTATTTATCGCAACATAATTAGGTAAATTGCTAAGTGCCTTACTACAATTTGCACTTTCAGCAGGACTACGATTCACGTTCATAGATGCGTTCATCATTCTGTCTGCATTTTCCACTTCTTTGTCTACAGTGTTACTTTTTCCTATGTACACTTCCTCGGGCATTTTTCTTTTAGTTAAATCCGGAGCATGGCACTGATACATTTTTGAAGATTCTGAAGCATTAGCCATGTTATATAAATCTGACTGTCTTGATATATGTCTCTCCGAATCTCTCACAGAACTTGTATTAAAATTACTACTTTGTTGTTGACTTGAAGACATATTACTTTCCGCAACTTCGACTATATTTTCCAATTGTGCCGCTACAGGTCTACAGGTAAATGTATTCTTATATCTCATAACAGGCTCTGTTGTATCGTGTACATTTATAGCATTTCTTCTGTCCATGTTATTTTCAAGTTCTTTTTTCTCATATTTATCAGCATCTACTAGAAACGGATTATTTTCTACAGTAAACTCAAAACTCGTCATGACACCAATTGAAACCTTTTGTTCCATAAAAGCTTTCTTCGATTGTTGTTCCATTAATGCTGTTTCTGAATTACCTTCTTTATTAAAGCTGTCCAAGACTTTCTTCTCTATAACAGATGTACTCTGCAAACTCATAGGCTTCTTCATACTCTGATTCTGAGATTGTCCAATAGAAGAACTAATGGCAGTATCATAATGATTTATTGTTGGACATCTAAATACTTGATTTGCAAGAGACTGTGAACAAAGACATGCTGACTTGTTCCTAAAAGTCTCTTCCTGCATTCTTACTAGTCTATCTACCTGAAGTTGCAAAGTCTTAATCTGTTCGCTCTGGTTATTTACAAGCTGCAACAAAGTTCTCACTGTTTCATTATTATCTATATTTGAGCTAGGTGTGGAAAATTGCTGATATCCAATGCATGGTAATTGTTCAATTTTCTGTAGAGCATCCGAAACGCCACCATTAGACAGTCTCTTAGTGTAGTCAGGTACGCCATATGGTCCTTTTTGTCGAGAATTACAAGACAAATGTCCGTTACTAAAATGTGACATATCCTCTTCAAAATTAGGAGAATTGATTATATCAGAACATTTTAACTGAGTACTCTTCTCACATATTCTGTCATTAACTCTTGTATTCACTAGTTCTTTTTGCATATCACATATCTTATCTTGTCTTTGTTTTGCTTGTATGGAAACATCTTGAAAATTCGAGTGCGATACATGACTACAGTTATAGGCATTTTTATATGATGGTGAACCATAAGTTGTACTTGTAGAATTGGTCTCTCCCAAATAATTTTGTTTTCTCCATGTTGCATAAGAATTAGAGTTATATGACACAGGAGTTGTAGAACTATGTTTTGCAATATTCTCAGAGGATCTTACTGACAAAGAATTGCTACTATTTTTGTTAGAAGTTTGTGCTGGTGATTTTTCAAAAATTAAAGATACTTCTGGCACAGTTGGCACTGCAAAATGCTATAAACATCTATGATTACACCTATGATTACATCTCCAGTAGTTTTATATTGATACATATAAAAATTTACAAGTACTAAATGAAAAGTAAAATATTAGAGAATAAAACTTACATCAAGTTTTGCTATAGGTTTTGGTGTAATTCTTGGTTCAAATTCTTCTTCATCGTCGTGAAATTGATGATGCATTTTAAAAAAATCATTTAATTAAACCTGCATGTTTTGAAGAACTTAATAACTAACAGTGGATACTCTGTTCGGAGAGAAAAGTTCTTTTTACGAAATTAACGTGCTTTCAGTCTCTCTTTGTATACCTTTTTAGCACTTCTTTATAGTTTTCGTTCAATTTTTGTGGTTATATCAACTCATAAGCTAAACCTTCGTATACAAGTTCCTGACTCTGACATTTAAACTATTTCGAAAACCGACAAAAGACAACCAAGGAAGTCGGAAGCAAAGAAAGTCATGAAAGCGTCCACGGGTGCATTTTATGTTTTGTTCACGAGCGCCGCGATGTCCACGTTATTTGACTACGAATCACCGAATTAAGTTTTAGCGGAGAGAAGACTAAGAGCGGCCAGGATCAAAAGAGAATGTGTAAAGCCCGCTCTACATTGATCGCAAGCGAAAAAAAATAGATCACTTAGATTAGTCATCAATTCTACCAGATATGTTTTTTGCATTTGCGTTTGCGCTTGCGATCAATGTAGAACAGGTTTAATAGCTTTTCTACCCTGTAAGTCAGCGCAATGTCCACAAGTGGTGCACATTGATAACTACGTAGCCATATCCACGAACGACTTGTCGGTGCGTACACTATGTCCAAACATCGACATGGTTTTATTCCGTGCTATGTGCACGAGTCCAAGTGTCAAATCGACACCTGACCCTAGCCGCTCTCAGCAGTCTTCTCTCTGCTGAAATACAAAATCATAAAACTAAAAAAAAATAAATACGAAAAAATATAGATAATATAATAAACATGAAAAACAAATAGATGACATAATAAATATAAAAAAAAATAGATAATATACAAAACACGAAAAAAATAGATAATATAATAACTACTAAAACTAATAAACAAAGTTAAGGTCTATTATCTTTCACAAAATAATGACGATATTCTAAAGCTTTGAAATTTCTGGCGCAATTCAAACGTCAATTTTGACGCACACAAAGTAAACAAAACTGTTGCTTTAATAGAATTTAAAACATCGAGAACAAGTGACTTTCACAAACTAACTAATACGTTAGATACTATCATTTTTTATCGATATAACATAATGTTCAAAACTTTACTTTTACAATCACCAAACATAATAACTTTCCTATTCCTTTTTTACTTTTCAATGAAAAATTTGAGACTAACTGTTATAAAATCTTATAGTAAAAAAACATTTATATTACTTCACCTTGCATTTCCAGTGTGTGTATCTTTATTACATATATATCACTATCATTTAAACCACGAAATTTATTAAAACTTGTATGCTCGATATTTCAAAATTTGTAAAATCGACCGTTCCAAAAAAAGCGAACAGACAAACCTTATCATCATGACTATATGACTGATATGTCACGTAACATATCCGATCTATAAAATCTAAGTAAACTGCTCTTAAATTAGATACATCTTTCACGCACACAATAAAACGAATGCGAAAATACACATTAGCGTACGTATATGTACTACTTATGCACGCATGCAACTAATGCACACTCGACTAAACCCTACTACATTCACCACAATAGTGCATAAACTGCATGCACGTATTGCACATACGCTTCTGCTGCAACACATATACTTATACAGCCTTTACACGTAAATAAAACAAAGGTAATTTTTTTTTTTTTTTTAACGAGGAAAAATGCCCGCGCACACCCTGATCTCTTCTGAGGGATCACAATATCCCAGAAAAAAGATCAGGGTAGTGTGGGACTCGAACCCACTAAAAAACCTCGGGGATCG